CGACTCTCTGTTCAGGTATTCAGCAACTCAGAATATAAACACCAGGATCTTTTCAGCAGAACGTTGAAGCTGAATAACCCTGTTGGTGGAGAGGTGAAACATCTTCATCAAACCAAGCCTGTCAACGTCGACTATTTCTAAACTTCTAATGAAGAAACGACCCGTATGACTGATACTGTGACTCACACAGACACCTTCAGTGATGAGAAAAAAAAACAATCAAGCAAGAAACAAGCTCAGGATCTGAGAAAGAGATGTGGCAACTGTGTGGAAAAATTCATAAACAGTTACGAGTTCATGATGGAAATTTAATTTTTGGTTTAAATGTCATTAGTATTTTAAGGGAAAATACAACACTGACTGTTACTGTATGTCCCTTCAGTCAGTCATGGGAGGCTCCGTCATGGTCAATGGTTTTTTAGCATGTTATGGTCAAAGCTAATGGACCCACGAATGACTTCCATCCATGCAGTGACATCTGGGAAATGACTTTTGATAATAGGTACATCTATCTGCAGAGAAATGATACCAGACACTGCCATATAAACATACCACAGCAAGGAAAACAAATGACAGGAGCCTGGTCATGTGTGTCTGACTAGACCTTAATCATTATCATTAGCGTTGTAAAAGGCATTTTGGATGCAGAAAGTTGCACTGAAGCTATTGAACTTCTGTTACATTTTCTAGGTCAAACATGAGACAGAGAGGTGGACACTGTCTGACTGAGCCTACAAGGTTATTATAGGAAAGAACAGAAGAGAAAAGTGAGTCAGAAACACATCCAGAAAGTATATGGCATGAACCGACATGTAAACACAAAATACATTTGCAGCTTCAGGAAGCAAATCTGTCTCAAACACAACCTGCAAACTCCATTTCACGCACAACCTCTCTCGCTCCCACTGTCTCTGTCAGTGTCTCTCCTCTCTGTCACCTCCCTTCCCTCCTCCACCTCCCGGCTCTCTTGCAGGTCACAATAAAAAAAAAATCAGAGACTAAATAAATAAACCGCAGTGTTTCCTGTACTCCGGGAATTGCTCCTAATAGTCGTCGGAGGAGGAGTTCAGAGCGGGGAGTCATCACTTGTCCAGATGGATTATGACCTTTGACTTTGGTTTGAGCAAAGTATTGCGTTGCTGCTGTGTTGCCAGATACTCTCACTTTTTTGGAAAAGAGCCGTGCTCTCAGCTCAGCAGAAAGTGAGCGTGTAGGAGATCCCTGTGTGCCTCAGCCTGTGATGACAGCTCTGTACCTCACTGACTGTCTTTCTGTCTTCAGTTTGGGGCATTTTACACCATAGGAATGATTCAGCCCTGCGGTGCAAGTCATGCACGGCCAAACTTCTCTCGCTCTGACCATCCGTGTGACTCAGCAACCGAAGGATTAAATGTTGCTTGAAACGGCGAGTGACAGTATGGAATTACTGGACAAAACAAACCAAATTGAATAGTGCTTGATATTTTCTTCATAAAAATGACTTTTATATCATATCATACACATATTGATCAGCGTTTACAGATTTGAGTTGGCAAAGGTAAACTTTTCAGAGTCGAGGGACGAGCTGAATCCTAAAGAGACAAACAACCAATTACAGTCACAATAGGTGGTTAGTTTGGAGTAGGGACCCTTAAACTCCTGGTCCGTGGGCTGAAAGTGGCCCATACTGATGTAATTTGACTTTTGCTTTTGTTTTTGGCCTTCCAATTAGATGACAGCTGCAATGTTTGCTCATTTGGTGTTGAGATCACTGGTTTAGAGTAATGAAAAAAGAATCATAATATGATTACTCATTAACTCTGGAAACACATGGCATTTATTTCACATAAACAACAATGAATGTGATCTTTTCTTTTTCCTTTCTTTCTCGTCCTGTTGAGCAGTCATTAATTAATTTAGTGTTCAATTAACCTAATCCTACAGGTTTTTAAACTAGCAGAAACCCCTATAACCTAGAATAAACACACACACACACACACACACACACACACACAGGGAGGACATGGAACCGGGATCAAACCAGCAAACCACTGATCTTCTTGCTGCGAGGCAGGAAAACTAACGTCTCATCTGTGGGCGTCTTTCTGTGGGTCTACCTTGAGCTTCACTCATTACCCAATCACAGTCGGTCATTTTTTTTCTTCCATATTTGACAGATGACCCACAGCTATCTCTTCATCTCTGGAACTTCTGAAGATGTTAAGGCGCGTTTTATGAAACGTTTCTTTTTTTTTTTGCTTAGCTTGAAATACAGTTCAAACAGCAATCCAAAATATTTTTTTTTTGCTTAGCTTGAAATACAGCTCAAACAGCAATCCAAAATAAAATCTAAGGCTCTTTATTATCTGTAGTTTGATAGGTCAAAAGCTGCCAAAAAATGATGACATTGTTAATAAAAGACAAACCCTTTCCCCCTGTGTCCAACAGCTTAAACACATACTGATCTTGACCCCAGATTAAGAGTTGGGTCAGAACACAGAATCTGGTTGTAGTCATCCAGCTACAAGGTGATGACAGTGATCCAGTCTGGTGTTGGATACAACGTTGCATGAATACTTGATATATGTATTTTCAAAAAAACACCAGAGAGGTTTATGGCCCAAATTAATAGTTAAAGACTTCTCCAATAGAACAAGGTGTCAGCTTTGTATATGATGGTGGGGTTTTGAGGAGAATAGTTGATAAGACATGGGTTAGGTAGTGTTACATCAGACAGCACACTATGTATGTGTAGTCACACAGATAACTTGCAGTCTAATAAGAGTCTGGTTGTAGGCTGTGGAAAGGTTATAGGTTTTCCAGCAAACATTCAGTTTTTGGTGTTTTAATGCTAAGTATTGTAACTTTAATTTACACCATGAAACTAAGGCAGCCTCAAGCTGTGGAGACACACTTTTGAATTGCCACACTGTAACATTACATAGTTGTGCCATTAGTTGCTACCAGAAACTGGACCTTAAGGAGAGAAACCACCTTTTGTCCTTTAGAGCAATACTTTCCAGTAAAGACGGCATGTTTGCCTGAAGGTTACGGCCTCATTTGGTGCTCGGATGATTACCCTGACATCCATAGTTGTTCCGAATTTTTCTAAGTTGCCATGTTCAAGTGCAAAAGTGAAGGCAAATGATTAACATCATTTTAGTCTTCATCAAGCCTTTTAATGAGCACTTGTGTGCCGTATGGAGGCATCTGCTCCTGTAATGATTCTCTTCGGCTAGGGCAAGCCAGATTTTTCTTTAATTTGTCAGTTTGCCTGAACATCTCATGCTCATTTAGTTAGGGCATTAACAACGATTTTTTTTTTTTTTTGCTCTATAATCAAGCGGGGTGTAGGCGTATCACAAGAAACTCAAGGGTGCAGAGAAAGTGTCATGTTCCCAGCTTACTTACAGAACAGTGTTTTTAATGAAGTGTGGAAGAAATTAGCAGTTAGCAGAAAAGGTGATTTTTCTAAACCACTGCACAGACAGAGGGAAAGGTGAGGTCACATGAGGAGAACATGAGAACTTCAAAATTATTCTAAAACTCTTTGCATGATGGGTAAACAAAGAAATCTTTTCAGGAATATCCTCCCAAGTTTTTTAGGTACTGTATTTTATTAATTTACTAATTTAATATAATTACATTAATGGAGTAGTATTTTTTTTCTTTTATTTATTCTTCACTCATTGGCTCTGTAATGAAATTAAGTGTAGCCGCTGCAATGTTGAAGTTGCTTATCAACCAAGTACTTGGAGTCAGAAGTATCACTTAAATGCAATACACACCATTGGATTTGAGCATTTACACCATTTTGTTAAGATCTTTTCCAAACCAACTGTCACTGTTCTAATGTTCCTGTATCAGTATTTCAAGAGTGCACAGGGCAATACATTTTGGTCAGCATATAATAATAATAATAATAATAGTAATAATAATAATAATAATAATAATAATAATAATAATAATAAAAGCTGGACATCACTCTGTCAGAGTCTAAACCTGCTGATGGTTCTGTCTTCTTAAAGTTTCTATTGTCACCAAGTGTTGGCTGTTTATACGATTTAATCCAGGATTCTATGACATAATATGACATTGATATTTTATCATTCAATTTGACGTTCCTGTAGTTTACATATTTAGTAGTGTTTATAATCATGGATGTGCAGATTATACATTTCAAATGAGTTACAATTTTGAATATTATTCATAATTGATTTGACTTCTGTTGAAGGATTTGTATTCAATCTAAGGGTCACATGCCGATGTGTCTATGAGCAACACACTTATGTTCTCTATAGTGATGGTGCTGACTGAGTATGAATTTAGAGCTGCCAACAATACATGCTCCATGTAGAATACGAGCGGTGATGAGTAGATATCAACACTAGAAAAGCCCTTTAGAAGATCAGACCACTTGTCATGTTTCAGCCAGTCAGAAAAAAAAAATTCAATGTTCAAATGAATGACCACCTCTTTATCATTGGCTGCCTACTTCCACTCTGACACCACGAGCGTCATCAGCACCATCAGCACCGTGCAGCCATTCAAGAAAACGACTTTCATAATCAAGATCGCTGCGGAGGGTCCACTCACTCAGCCCTCAGCCTCACTGGAGACTGACTCATTTATGAAAGGCTGCTCTCTTGTGGCCACCAGCAGTAAAAAAAAAAAAAAAAGGGAACCAAGAATGCAGGAAGGCTGGATTGACAGGGAATAATATGCTCTCATAAACCTGGAGCTGCTCTCCTTTTAGAAACTCCAGACAGACAGTCACTGCAAACACAATCAGTGTTATTATATTTACAGTCAGACAGACAGACAGATAGATAGACAGACAGACAGATAGACAAATAGACAGACAGACAGACAGACAGACAGATAGACAGATAGACAGA